GGGTAAAATGGTCCATTACAGACCGAACTAAAATGGGACTATTAAGCCTTCGGTTGTCCCTCTACATGCTAATCAAAGTATGAACATACCAAAAGACATGGACATACATAAGCATTACATCAAACATCTTGTTTAGAAGTTTGTCCGTGACATTCTCCCCTACTTATTCTTTCGACATCCTCGTTGAAGCCTTTGTCAACACTGTAGCTCCTCGCCTTTGCTGAGTCTTCAATCTTCTGCTCCAGCTACAATGCGCCTCTTAGCTCCCAGCTGCTCTCTACTACTATTTTTTAGTAGTCGAACCTTTGATCCGCCATGCTGCTTCAACTCACCAATGACTCTGACTCTGGTGTGGGTTTGGCTGAGTTGTGTTGATCCTTGTTGATTTATGTGGATCCTTCAAATGAAGGAAAAGACCATCCTTACTACGCCAGTCTCTCAAATGCCTCATGCTGTTTGAACTGGGTGGATGCTTGTTGGAGCTTTTATCGAGGATCGTCTCGTAAACTTTTGAAGTTTTGGGTCCTTCCTCCACAAAATTTGCCTATTTCACTTAGTTGTCACTTCCAAGTAGGTTCGCATCACTTCCGCTTTCGATTGGCATTTCGTTGGGAAATGAAGCAGACACTCTACTCTCAGTAGCACTGATCACCATTGGTGAGGATTTGACAACTATTGTCTTCCATTATCTTCGAAGAGTCTTTGAACTTACGCAGAGCTCCTCTGCTGGATAGATAAGAGAATTGGGGTACTCGGTTTTGCCTATTCTCTTAAGGATTGAGAAGGCCAAGGTTACTTGACTTCGCCCACCTCCTCAAGGTTGTACTCCATGCATCGAGCTGGTTATTGGCCTTCGCCTGCTCTTTGCTCACACTTCTGAAGCACTTGAAGTGTTTGCACTCCTTGCATTGAGTTAGCTACTGTGATTCACCTTCTCAATGCCATCGTACTTCTGAAATGAAAGAAGTTTTCACCCTAACTTGGAGTAATTCTCTAATAGATTTGGTCATTTTTGGGATTGTACCGTCTTCTCCATCAACCCTGTCGCCTACTCCCCTGAGTAGCAAAGGTACAGCCCCACGTACTTCCTGCTTCGTTCCTTGGTCGTGCACTCTTGCATGACCCGAAGTCCTTCACTTTCGGCTATCTTGATGAGAAGCTCATTGACACCGGTCTTACGAAGTTCCTTAGCCTCTGCCCTTCAGCCTTGTCTCGGTACTTGGAGATTTGCCTCTGCATGCTCCACCTCCTTGGCCTCTTTTACGACCAAGCGCTCTCCCTCCATGAGAGCAAGGGATCAATGCCTTTCACGGAAGTCCCACCTCTGCGGTACTATGGCGCTGCCATGCCCATGGCCCTACTATCCGTCGCCTTGCATCTACATCCCTTTTCTTCACGATTAGTAGATATGTCTCCGTGACACTCCTCTGAGTCCACCTCCATTCTAACTGATGCTTGATTTTGGGTAGCTAAGTCCCTCTAGACTCGTCGTCACTTCCTCGCCCCTTTCGACCCCCTACTTCAACACCTCTGTGTTCTCCAAGCAGTCTGTTTGGTCGATGGAAAGACAGACTGCAACTCCCATGCATGGCCTCTGCCATCACGTTGTAGGATTTGCACCGATTCTGTTCTCCTTAGCTTCCTTGGTAGCAACGTTCGCTTACTCGACCTAGTCCTTTGACTTGCCGGGCTCCCTTAAGCGAATATGAGCTCTGGAGCAGTCCAACTCTCCAGTTGCTTCGATCATACCTCTGTATGATCAAGTCCCTCCCATGGGACTTATTGGTACTTGCATTCAAACCTTTTCCATTGGTGGAACATAGCCCCCCCATATGCTGATGACTAAGGCTTTCATCCGATGCAAAATTCGATGCACGCATAGAAGACCCGCCTCTGCAGTACCATGGCCTTTACTCCTTGAATCCATAGCCCTTTTGCCATCGTGTTGTTCACCGAAGTGGAGCTTCCAGTAGCTCCCGATCATACCTCCGTATGATCTAGTCCCTCACGGGACTCATTCATGTGTATCGCATTGCCGCGAACTGTTCCACCACGATCCGCTGCACCATGTCGCCTCTTGGTGACATCTCCATTGCATTCTAATCCTTGTGGGATGAACTCGAATTATGGTTCCTCCATGTGTGGCTTCTGCCCTTCATGTGTGGCCTTTGCCAATACATCGCAGGGTTTCTTCCACCTAGATGAAGCACCGCTCTAGAATAGTCCGTCGCCTAGTAGCTCCCGAAGTCCACCGACTTCGCTGTAATTAGTGCACCATTGTCTGGATCTTGGGCCTCTGCCCCTACCAGCATAATCTCCGCTGCGCACCGCTTCCTTCATGGCAACTTGAATGGCAACACTATGGCATATTCTTCAAGAGTACCCACCTCTGAGTCCTCTTGCCCCGTGCTAAGGCCTTCTGAACCCAATTTCGCCTCAGTAAATTGAGTCGCCTTAGTTACTCTATCAAATGCTCCTCCAAGATAAGGTGCATGTGCCCAGAAGCTCCTTTCGTCTTTGGCACCATGCAAGATGAGTCCGCTCCATCAGAATGAAGGACCCATGAAACAGCATGATCCTGCTCTTACCTCTACAAGAGTTCATGTCCTTGACCTCTGTCCAAGGAAAGCACTGTACCTCCGCTCCATGTTCCATCTTCTATGCTGGCTCCCTTCGTGTGGCTTGGGCACTTTGCCAAGTTATACCCAAGTTGCTCCGCTCCTCGTTTTTGCATTGAGTTGATGGTGGCTCTCGCGCCCACCATTCCACGAGTTAGCCCTCCCTTGAGTCCGATCTTATATCGACTCCAAGTGTGCCTTCATTTGTGTTGCTTTGAGTTGCTCCCCCACTTGATCTCGCAATGCATCTACCAATGCATTCTCTCGAGCGAGATCATGCGACAACTCCTCGCCGCTTGCTCAGTCCATTGAGCTTCGTGGAGTTGTTGTTTGTTGAGGTACTCCTCAACTTTTAAGGTCTGTCCCCATGATTCTCCCTCTAGAGAGCCGAGACTTATCCCTCCTGGATAACTATCCCATTAGAGCAAAATTTCTCTTCGTTTCGGAGACCACCATCCCCTTAGACTACTCCGATCTGCTGAACAAATTGTGTATTGTTCTGCCTCCTACAAACGCACTTGCTAGATTGCGAATCCACGTCAATACAGCCCCCGCTGCACCACTCAAGGCCTAGCAACATGCTGAACTTGTTACACACTTCAACCTCCTACGGACGTATCCTTTACATGCCCAAGAGAAAGTTTCAATGCTCCATGGCGTCGAGTTTCAATTGCCTTGGGATGGCCGCGAACATTCCATCGTCCGCATACAAGCCCATGTATGAGTATCGAATTCTTTGAGTTAGCAATTCCCCTCACCTCTGTGAGCTTTGCACAACTCTTACGGTCGCTGAGCAACTCATTCCACCTTGCATGGTCTCATCCTTTACCAAGCGCCTCGCTTGCCTTGAGCACCATCAAGTATAGTTGTCAACGTTGAGCCGTAGCTCAAACTCAACTATCCCAACCTTTGTGCGCTCCGCATTCTTTCAGGCTTGCTTGTTCTCGAGGTGCCTCTTGCGCGAAGGGTTGATCATTCCTCTGCATGCCAATCTCAAATGCCTGCTCCTCCGAGCGACTCCTTTTCCCTACATCTCCATGCCCAATTTACCCCAAACGGTCGCGCGTGTACTGATTGCCCTCAACGCAACCCCGCTAGGTCCCCCACATTTGCATGCTAAGTGTTTCTATGAGTGCTTGTCCCGCTCTGATACCATCTATCACAGACTTAGCTGGTTTTGCCTAAGTCGTGCGGCACCCTTGCATGTCCGTCCGCAAAGGTCAGCCTCCCCGAAGCCTCCCATGTCCCTCAGGACCCACAAAAGAGAGAACGAGTTAGAGAAAATGTCTCATTCGGGATCCACAAGCAAACATTTCTGAAAATACTTCATAGATAAAGCAAATTACAAACGGACTTTACAAGCTCTGAATAGTTGCACAACAAAGGGTAAAATGGTCCATTACAGACCGAACTAAAATTGGACTATTAAGTATTCGATTGTCCCTCTACATGCTAGTCAAAGTATGAACATACCAAAAGACACGGACATACATAAGCATTACATCAAACGTCTTATTTAGAAGTTTATCCGTGACAAGAGGAAACTACCCAGCTCCCCAATCAATCTTCACTGCTCAAAGGCTAAATCGCTCCCGATAAACTGTCTCTTCCTACCTACTTATTCCTTTGCCTTTCCCATAGCTCTCCACGTCAATCATAATCATAACGAGTCATAAGAAGGATTGTACTTTCGATGATGAATCAACGACACTAACTTACACTCATATTCATATTGCTCCCCAAAACCTCCAAATGTCAAATCTCCTTGCTCGCAGTCTTTGATTCTCGATCTGAAACATAAAGCTACCAGAATCATCACCAATCATCCCGAATTCAAGAAAATAGAAATCTGCAAAGCCCTAATCCGCACGAAGAACCATGATTACGCTACAACAATCATAACCTAAAAATGCATTCCACTCACTGCAGGTTCCAGATTAGAAAAAAACTCGCAAATAAACTGAAAAATCGAAATAAAAGGACGGGTGCGTTATACCTGCGCGACTCGAGCAAGAAACCAAGCAAGCCTTTCAAAGCGAGCAAAGGCATCATAGTCGAGGGAAGAGATCTCCTTGTGGGAGTAACGATCTGACATCGATCTATAATTCCGGTGTGTGTGTGTGTGAGAGAGAGAGAGAGAGAGAGAGAGTGGAGAAACAAATTGCGTGCGGAGGCGTAATAAAAGGCATTATAGTCATTTAATCTTATAAGGAATTTGAGGCATTTCGGGGAGTCGACTTAGATTGGCTAGCTCTGTTTCGGGGCCAGTGTCTTAAGTGGGACCCACATTCCGCGTCGTTATTTTCTCTCCACGTAGGATGAGTAAAACATTTGTGACGTACCTCAAATCCGCGTTAAACATGAAACCGACATAACGGAACGGAGAACCGAAGGGAGAGAGAACGCAGAGGCGGAAGGGAAAGAGACGAAGAAGGCGACGCTTGGCGGAGGCTTGCCTCTTCGCAAACATCATTAATTCTAGTTTCCTTTGTTGTCTAGAGAGAAGAGAGAGAGAGGAATAGGCAGACAATGATGGAGGTGGTGGCGCATGTGTACGACGTGACCAACAGTGGGTCGGAGAAGGCCAACAACACCATCCTCCACATCAACCGCTTCTTCAAGGACGGCATCGGCGTCGGCGGCATCTTCCATAGCTCTATCCAGGTCCCTCTCTTCCCTTCCACCCCGTGTTCTTCTCCGTTGAAATTGTTCTTGGATTTGTCCGAGATCTTACCTTTTCTTTGAAGCGGGGGGTATTTTGGGTAGTGGGCATTGATTGGATTAGGTGTTTGCTCTGTATTTGTAATTAACCACCTTTTGCACGGATCCCAGTGATTTGTTAGGAGAACTAGAGGGAAATCGAGGTGATTGGTGAGAGCTATATGAGTGCCAATGCACAAGGCACAAAAAAAACTAACTTTTAGCATTAAAATTGCATTATGAAAATAATTTTCTATTTCTTTTATAAAAACCTGATCAAATAGGAATATTTTTTACTAGACGGAGCAAGAGGAATCGTCCTAAAGAAATGCATAGGAGGATCCAGAAGGTTTCCTTTCTGGAGTTCCAGTTTCGTTATTTCTTCTTATTTCCTTGGGTAGTTATGGTGAGTTGGCATTGGTCAGGGAGGCTTTCCATTGTAATTAGACACCATTTGCGTGGAATACACTGATTTGGAAGGAGAATGTGACAGAGATTGTGGTTCCTAGTTTTGGTTTTTACGGAAAATTTGAAGGCACAAAGTTGCTCATTTTAAGTACAAATAATTTGACATTTGACAGTGTGGTTATTGTTTCTATCAGAAGCAGGGAGAGAAAGTGCGTCGATTTTATGGAAGAATATATGGGAAGGTTTTTAATGATCAAAGAGGTTATCTTTCTGGAGTCATTTGATTACTTTTGATTAAACTTTGTTGGTTTCTTTCCACTTATTTTTTTATTTTTCATCATAACTTCGTTATCATTTTATTTCTAGGTAAGTAAGAAGTCATTTTTCTTTCTTTATCTTTTGTCCATATGTGAAAGACAATTTAAGTCATGATTCTACTAGTAATTTGCTTGCTTTTTCTTTTTTGTAATTGTCAGGTATACGGTGATGAAGAATGGTCATTTGGTTTTTGTGAATATGGTAGTGGAGTTTTCAGTTGTCAACCATGTAAAAATCCTATGTATACTTATCGAGAATCAATTGTCCTTGGAGAGACAACTTGTTCCATATTCACGGTGAATCAAATCTTGAGGGAACTAAGCAGAGAATGGCGTGGAAGTTCATATGATCTGTTTTCAAGAAATTGCAACCACTTCTGTGATGCTTTCTGTGAAATGCTTGATGTTCCAAAACTTCCAGGTCAGTCAGGTACTTCATTTGGTAATGTTGGATGCAAATACTCGATTTCACATGTCAAGACTTGATGTTGTGCTCATTGAGATTTCTTTATGCTTTGTTTATAGTTTCTGATTTTAGATAAGCAAACACAGGGTTATTGACCATACATTTTATTAAAAATATATTTTATTGAATAGGTTAAGGGCTTCTTTTTTCTCACCCTGTCTTTCTCCAACTCTTTTAATCTTCTGAGGTAAAAGTCTCTTGTATCTGTTTCTCTCTCTCTCTATTATTCGTGTCATTAGCCCTGCACGCAAGACATGGGTCATTTGAACAAGGAATTATCGTGGACTGGCTCAAAATAATGGGAGCCACTTTACTGGATGAATAACTGAAAGGATGAGATTTAGCTCCACCAAAACAATTAACAGTCTAATACTCACAAGCCATATAACACATTCTAATCTGAATGGGTTCACAATAGAAAGATAAAAGAATAATGAAACAAAAAAAGAAGAGAAGCAGAAAGAAAATTGACATATCCTCTTTCTTCTCTTCTTTCTCATTTCTGATAGCTTGTCTTTTACATAAATATGAAAATTACTCATGTCTTTGGCTTTTTGACAAACTTTTTTGATAGGACTGAAGCTTGAATCCATCAGGTTTTGGTCGTTGAATTGTTTTGTCTATTGATAAGTTCTCTTGTAAGTTGAATGGTCTTTTCTGTCATTAGACAATTTTTGGAATTTGAAAGTGTTTGTTTTGTATCTTGCTGTACTCCATTTGGGACACTTTATTCCTTTTCTCTGTGAGACTTCCTCAATGATTGCTACTGGACTTTTGTCTCGTTAAACCATCCAGACTTCTGAATATTTATTCCTAGCATTAGTTGTTGTTGTTGTTGACTTTTGAGGAGCTATATACTAACAAGCACAACGGAGAATCCAGGTAAATTTCTTTTTGTAAATTATTTCCTTAGTGTTGGAGGTCTCTTCTAAGAGACATATTTAGGCAGTTAATGAATTAGAAGAATGTATAATATTCAGAGGATGTATATAGTGTCTTGAAAAGTTGATTGATGTCTTTATGCTATTTTTAGTTTACTTTCAATTATATTCGCTACATAGATCATATCATCAAATTCAATGATATAATTCTTCTCTACCATATTTATAATAATCTCATGCCTGCAGCATGGGTGAATCGGTTAGCAAATGCTGGTGATGCTGCCATGGAAGTTGCAGAAATCACAGCATTCAAGGTAAGAAGTAATTTTTCTACTTTGTAGGTTTTTCCGTTTAATTCAGATTGTTCTTTATAAAAGGATCTCAGCAAAATAGTGATTGTTCGAATTTTGATTTAGTATATCTTGTTTGGGGTTTAATGCATGTCTCTGTTTATGCAGTAATTGCATTTTAATTTCAGAAGTAAAGATATCTCATGATTTGTTTCATGTTTGAGGTAGTTTCCACCTTGTTGGCACTTTACACAAATAGCAAATGGTTGATAGATTTTGTTATGCCAATGCCTTCGTGTCATTTGATGGTATTTATGCTATCAGAAGTCAGAACAAACAATGATGCTTGATATTGGATTCTTAGGATCAATGAACAAATCATTACACTAAATGGAGTCATGAGCACTGAATAGTACATAGTATATGATGTTTCATGAGGATGAAGCCTGACCCTGGATTTTCATATTACAAGAACGGGCTTGATGGTTGAAAGGAAAAGTAGGGTCGAGCACTGCCAATCAACCCTTATTGTTGCTTGTTCTACGTGGGTTCCTTCCTAAGCTACTGCCACTTAGTTGTTGCACATGTACATGATTTCTATATAAATAAACCCTTTTTTATGTGCAAAAAACAACAGCCCCAGCTGTAGTTGTAGAGAAAAATGATATTTCCTTTTGAAGTTTGTTTACCCTTGAAAGCTTGAAGCCATAAAGTGCTGAATTAGGCCTCACCCTTCTGCTTCCTTATATTATGTGGGTTGTTCCTAATACCTGCATAATTATCTTGTCTTAAAAGAACTTCTCAGAACTTGTGTTTGACAATCCTATGCTCAGATACCTGAGAACCTGAGTTAACCTTAGATTTATACCTTCCTTAGTTATTTAATTAGATAGGCAGTCAATAAGCTACTGCTTTTGCTGAAACTATATATATCGCAAGGGTTATGGAAAGTCATGACAATATCAAGAATTACTTTTGGTTTAGGATATTTTTATTCTCGATAATTTTCATATCCATTTTTTTTTACAATGAATAGGAGTCCTTGGGACTCTGGAATGTGCCCCTTAAGGATCAAGAGAGATTGTTCGGCGCACACATCATGTGCTAGTAGTGAGTTGTAGGCCCAAAGCATTTCTAAAAGAGGTTCCAAAAGAAGAGGCTATTATTATGAGAGTAGAGAAAATTGTGCCTTTAGATTGGTAATTGCCAATTATCCCACTTCACATAGGCCTCGTACAATTACAGCTCATGCCTATCAGAGATTGGTTTCGGCACCGTGTTAGGCTTCACAGTTTTACCTCAGTAGATATAATCGCAGCTTACTCAATACATTATTTTGATACAAGAGGGCCAAAACAGTTTGATAATAAGTCTATTAGTGGATTTGATATAGTAGGGAATCTGATCAATTAATCAGAATATTACTAATCCGAATAATAATAGCATCAATCATAGATCAATCTCAATTCAGTTCATGTATGATAGATCTAATTAGCAACTATATAATTTCATCTTAAACATTTTCTAATAAATAAACACACCTGTAGATATGGTTACCACTTGATGTTGGTGACCTAGGATGTACATAAAAAAAAATTTCAACTGTAATTGAGTATGTTCTCGGATGAGATGTTTGATTGTCCAGTAAATATGACAAAACTGGCTCATAGTTGATTCACAGATTTATGGAATCAGATCAGGATTTTTTGTTAATGGACCAGATTCTATCTGTATATAGCTTAAATTGGCTGGTTTAAGTCCAGTTGGAAAGTAAAGAAGCTGGGTATCAACTACAAGTTATTCAACTTTCTTACTTAAGGTACAATAGGATTGAATGTGTTAGAAAAATGCATTCATCCATTGCCAACCGATATTTTTAAGTACATATGATTGTTTTAAGCTGGATTTCCATCGCCTGCCAGTTTTTGTATATGTGTTTGTATCAGTTGTTCTCAGTTGCATCTGCTGACTGAATCCTGCTGTATTGGCTTACAGCATGCTGAAGCACTTAGTGACATACTTGGCAGTGTAATATGCAGAATTAGAAAATTATGGTTCTTGTGTCATTTGTTGCCACCATAGATGTAGCAGCTTTAATTTGATGCTGGTGTCTTTGTCCTCTTCTTTTGTGGGTTACAGCTGCAACAAGCAAAAGCTGAAATTATAAATGCTAGCAGAGTAGCTTATAAGTTCATCTCAGGTGTGGGTTCAAATGCACCCACCACATCAGAAGGCCCGAGTGATTCAGGTAGTGTTGCTGCTCGTGCCCAGGGAACATGGTTCAGAAATCTCTTCAGCAACATAGGTGTGAAGCCATCTAGTAGTAACTCAAGCTTCCCTGAGGATTTCGATGATGAAGAGCCTGAAGATGAACCCAGCAGCAGCAGCAGCAGCAGTAGTAGCAGCAGCAGAGAAAAATAGCACTCACGCAACTCAGCCCCAAGAGCAAGATATATGATTCAAATTTATTGTATTATTTAAGAGTTGCATGACATAACATCGTCTTTGATCATTTAAATTAGTGGATACAGTAAAAAAAAAAATCTTCAATCTTCAACAAAGCTGGCTGCTGAGAAAGCTATTGGTATTATACAATATTCATGCGAACATGAATATTGTAGTATGGATATAATTGAGTGTATTGCATAATTGCTATTCTGGACTTTGTCTGCCCTCTGTATGGCATATTTAGACTTGGAGACCTTGCTTTGCTGTATTATTATACTTATTATATAGATCATCAAAACAGAATCCTTCTAAATTATGTGATAAGTTGGTCTTTAGTGGAGAAATTGTGCTCTGGCACTGGTTTCTGGTGGGAATACATGCCAGCAAAAATTCTTCTAATGCTGAAAATATATATTTATACAATTTTATTTAGCAGGTGATTTCATTTTCATCTATCATAAGAAGACACGTTTGCTGAGTGTCCTACAACTCTATGTCTGGTGGGTAGAGGAGGTACATTATACTGTTTATGAATCTATGGGAGTTTTCTGATTGCTTGGACTTTGTTAGCAATTGTGGGGTTGTCTACATCAGGGTGGATTTGGTGATGTGTTCACTTTCTTGTTCTTCATAGGAGAATGTTGTGCCAATGGTAGGCAGTATTTCTGTGGGCAGCGCATATTAAGTTGGAAAGAAAATGGATCTTCAGAACAGATATGTGCAAACCTTTCTTTTTATTTTGGATAAGAGGAGATCCTTGTCTTCCACTGAAAGACTACTATGAGAACATTGAAGGTTGTTTGGCTGGTTGCATTTTTTGAGAACTCTTATTGATTATTCTGATAATAATTGCTCCAACTAATTTTTAGTAGCTTAATGTCCTTTTGCTCCAGATTTTGACTAAATATGCTAGAAAACGTGATGTTCCAAATGTAGACTTTGTTCTCCAGAATGTCCTAGACAAATTCACATTGATATCTGATGAGGATAAAGATATGGAGTTATTTACTTGCATGAGGAAGTAAAGAAAGAAGTTATAGGGTTAAGACCTGAGAGATACATTGAAGGACATAGGTGGAGAATTGTCATTCCAGCTTCATATTTTTAGCAGAACAGAGGGCATCTCTCAGTAGGCAAAACCATTAGATGTCCTCATGGAAAAAGAGAAAGAAATCCCCACAATTCCTCCTTGTTTTTGAGTTTTCATAACTCAGTTGATTGAATACAATCTTGAAGCAAAGCTGAATAACACAGTTTCCAGTGGCATTCTCAAATTCTGGGTCCCATCAGAGCCAAAGATGCACAGAACAAACACAATGTAACCCAAAGCACAATATCTGGTCATAGGATTTCATAGTACCTTGTAAATACTAATCTATCTGCAAAAAACTGTCATTGATCATTGATGCCAAATGAATGACATATACATAGAAGAGTTTCATCAATAAAACAACAACTCATTTGTGATGTGAAAGTTGAGGTAAGGCCCTATGAAGCATGGAGGAGATAGAGTGCACTGCAGTGGCTGCTATTCTGGTCTTTATCTGTCCCCGCCTCGGTATGAGCCTTCTGCCTCCTGACTTCACATCGATGGAAGCGGTGGCAAGAACAGCAGCAACAACATTGCTCATGATGCTTGATGTTGGCAAAGCAGTTCTGAAGGCTTCTGTAGTCTTGGGTGGTGTTTTGGATTCTCAGCTTCTCAGCTTGCTGTCATCTTCAGTTTCAGGCAATATATATATAGAGGGATTACAAAACCAGGGTCCGAAAAAGTATTTGCTAGGCTGGATAATTGAATAAGAAGATGTGCACTTGCAGTTGTTTTCTTGGTGGTGAGACATGACAGCTATTGTTGTCCTGTTGCTACTACAATTTGGCTCTGATACCATTCAACACAGAAATCTGATTTGTTGTGGGTTTCAGACAGTTTTGACAGGACAAGGATGACATGAAGGTGTTCATAATTCAGCATGCTTTGTAGAGAAGTACTAATCCATTTTGGATTTGCTTGAATTATGTTGGTAAATTCTTGGATTAAAGGTGTGCAGGTTGTGTCTGCACGTGGTTACACGTGGAACCAGCTTTTGGAACATAGACCGGTCATGTAGCTCTTCTTGAGAACATCCAGAAATAGATTAAGATGAGCCTTGACTTGTATATGCCCATGGCCGTAAAGAAGAATGCACACATCTGATCTTCCAACATATCACATGCAAATGACCTCAACTTGCAATTGCAAGTTTAATATCAGTGGTGCAAGCACAGGTCATTTCTGACTGTAATGCTTATGCGAAAAGTATGCAGCAGACGTTATAACATATTCTATATAGTTTTACGTTGGTTGTCACCGATCTAACTCAAGCCTTTGGTTTTTTCATTCAGAAATAAAAATATATAGTTTTGATGATAACTAAAAAGGATAGTTACATAGGGCTTGCAGATTTTAGACGGTCAATATATACAGTTTTATCTTCATACGATATACAAATTTTAGAGGGTTAATATATACAGTTTTATCTTCGTAAGCAACAACACACAATCGAAGAGTTCAACTCTTTTCTTTATTTTGCACATATAAAGCTGCTTAAGAAGCATAGAAATCATATGCAGGAGAATATAAGTGCTTGCTAACAGACGAGCATTAAAATCTTGTGAATCAACAGTAGTTAGCAGAGAAGAACACATCGAAGAAAACAGTAAGGCCCTACTAAGGGAGGTGTACCTTCAGGTACCTTCATGGCTGCTTCCTGCTTGCACAACGAACATTAAAAACCACACTCACCATAGGTGAAAGCCCTCTTGTTTCAGATCTGAAAACATAAGCAATCAGAATATGATTTGAGAGTCAAAAGTATTCAGAACAAGCAAATCTCCACTAAAAAATCCAAACAACCAAATTTGTAGCTTGTCATCATGGAAGCCATTTCAAAGTTCACACCAAAATGGAGAAAATCCATGCTTCCATGCCTCCCAAACATGCACAGACTGCCACTTCTGTGTCTTTATTCAACATACCATTGTCTAGTTACCTCAGAGCTCTTCCCAGAACAGTTTAAGCCTAGGTTGGGATTGGAATAAGAAGCAACCATGAACTCTCTCTCTCCCTCATGCATACATATGTGTATATATATGACCACAGTTGGATAACACCTCACAGCAACTGGATCAAGTCTCTGCAATGATGAATACAGGTAATGACACAAATGTGCAATTTCTTGTGGGAGAAGAAAAGGTCACACAGCTTTGCTACTAATTTGTTTGTACTTTGTATACATCAGATTATATTCAACTATTTCAAATTTGTGTTCTTTCTTTTGTATCAACTAATATTTATGAAGTTAATTGATATAAATTGGACTTTTTAACTTAATTGAAAATTTGTAGTCTCATAATGTTTTTAAGGATTGCAAACATTAGATGGAGTTTTTTTGCCTTCTGTGTAACTTTAGCAGCAAATTTGTTTAAGTTATCAAATATAACAAGGATATAAAAAACAATGATAATGGATAACAATGGATAATGGCCAAAATATTAGTTTAGCATTCTGTATAATTTTTATTAATCTTGGTTTAGGATTATACACTCTGCATGAAGCAGATACTCTTGAGAAAGGATAACAATGGATGATGGCCAAAATATTAGTTTAGCCTTCTGTATAGTTTTTGTCATTCTTGGTTTAGGATTATACATTCTGCATGAAGCAAATACTCTTGAGAATGGATAACAATGGATGATGGCCAAAATATTAGTTTAGCCAAGTGCAAAATTTCTGTTCTGCTTTTCACTTTTATATGCAAGGATAAACTCCCCTCTCTCTCTCTCATTTATCCCATGATCATGAATTAGTTGGTAGATATTTACGTATGCGTTCTACATATAAACTTTGGAATGTAATATGCTAAAAAATGCACGAAAGAAAGCATTTAGTAATAAACTTAAGATTTCTTTAGCAGACTAAATGGAAATTGATCTTTAGGTTTATAGTATGACTAATTTAATTAGAGTCACCAAGTATAATTTGTTCCTCTAGCTATCTATGATACACGCAATTACTTAAGGCAAATCTATTCAAGCTTATCTCTAGCATATCCTCGGAGTGTTTCAATTACTTAAGATAACTATGTAAAAGTTCATTCTCTGTCATAAGCTTATTATTTAAATCTCAGATTTTGATGATGAAATCAATTGATAAGTCTATGAACTTATGAGTGTTTAAAAAAAGTACCGTAGGATAAACTTCGATAATGGAAAGACATATCGATTAAAGCAGAAGAATCATACATTGGGCCAAAGTTCATCTTGTCAGAGATCGGAGATTGGGCCAAAAGGATCGGGCATTACGCCAAGAAGATTGGATGTGTAGGAGGTCAACATGCCGATGGATCGGATAATATGCCGAAGGAAAGAATGACATGTTGGAAGTTCGGACGAAGTACCAGATGAACTAATAATATGCCGGACAACGTAGGTTTCATGATTGTAATTATTATGTCTTGATCGAAGTAGTTTAGAGTCTAATTGAGTTAGTTTTGGGTGTAACAATACCAACTTAATTAGGAGCCCATTGGGTCTGAATCATGATTGAATTGTGCCTATTGGAAGACCAATTCAGTGACTTGAGGTTAGGCCAAGCGATGACACCGCTAGTCCATGCAGTGGTACCGCTTGTGAGTTAGAAAGTACGAATTATACTTTTCCAAAAAACCCGACGGTGGTACCGCTAGGGTCAGTGGTAGTACTGCCCAAACTGATGGGGGTACTATCAGAACTCTCTCAGGCTATGTCAAATGGTAATACTACCCAGGTAGGCAATGGTACCACTAGTACTTGGGCTGTCAAGCAGTAGTACCGCCCAATACATGTAGTGGTACTGCCAATACTATGAAAACTCGTAGATTTAAATTTTTTGCTCCATTTCTGAAACCATTTGGGGCCTATAAATACCTCACTCATACTTGCTTAACAAAACATGAAAAACTTGTGGTTTTAAAGTATTGTATACTCTTAAAAAGTATTGAGTCTCTTCGTCCTTGAGTTTAAAAGTTATTCTAAGGGAGGTGTGAGGTCTTTTGTATAAGAAGGGTGTAAGGGTTCTCTCCTAAACTTGTGAAAA